GATGGACGCCCAGTAGCATATTTTTCTAGAACTCTTACGCAATCTGAGCGTCGACACTCGGCAGTGGAGCATGAATCGGCAGCCATTGTAGAATCTGTTCATAAATGGCGTGATCTTTTACTCGGTCGATATTTTACTATCGTTACGGACCAACAGGCCGCCTCATATGTTCAACACACGGACACCAAGCCGTATTAAAAACGATAAGCTACTTCGATGGAGACTTGAACTTTCTAACTACTCTTATGATATTGTATACTGACCAGGTTCACTTAATAGCTCTGCAGATACTCTTTCCCGTTCATGCTCTGCTTTGTGTTCATTATCACTAAAAGATCTTCACGCAACACTCTGTCATCCAGGAGTAGCGAGACTGTATCATTTCGTTAAACAAAAGAATCTGCCTTTCTCTATGAAAGATGTTAAACATATCTGTGCTGAATGCCAAATATGTGCTGAACTAAAACCAAGGTTTTTCAGACCTCCCCCTGGTTGTTTAATCCATTCTCGATCCCCTTTTGAATGCCTTGCTATTGATTTCATGGGCCCAAAACCATCAACAAATAGTTTTAAATATCTACTCGTGATCGTAGATGAATACTCGCGCTATCCTTTTGTCTATCCATGCCAAGACATCTCAACAGGAACTGTAATAAAATGTCTCCAAAATCTCTTTACCTTCTTTGGCTGCCCAGATTCAATCCATAGTGACCAAGGGAGCCAGTTCGTATCATCTGAACTGAAAGAGTTTCTCTGGCAACATGGCGTTGTAATTACCCACTCAACACCATATCATCCAATCGGCAATGGACAATGTGAGAGGGCAAAGGGAACAATATGGAAAACGATCAAACTTGCACTCAAGACGAGGCAACTGGATGAACGTCATTGGCAAGCTGTACTCGACATTGCTCTGCACTCAATTCGATCTCTCCTTTGTACAGCAACTAACACAACACTACATGAAAGATTGTTCAATTTTCCGAGAAGGTCTGGTACCGGATACACCCTACCTGAATGGTTGCAAGGAGGCCCGGCGCTGCTAAGAAAGTTTGTCCGTCAACACAAGTCTGACCCACTAGTGGAACCGGTGGAAATAATATCAGCAACTCCCAATTTTGCGAGAATTCGTTTCCCTGACGGCCGTCAGTCAACAGTCTCAACAGAAGACCTTGCCCCCACTCCTGTTACTGACCCATCGCTTGTAGATTCGGATTCTCCTGTCTTCACCGGTAACTGTGAGTCATCAAATAACAATGAACCGGAAATGTCTACTGACCAACAAGAAACCACAACAAATGGGGAATCCTCCACTTCAGTTGGCGAAACAAAGTCTTGGGATATAGAACAGCAGCAGTGGTCGCACTTAGAGAAGGATGCTCTGGGATTTCTTCCCGGATCATCAAGATGAGGACGAAAGATCATCTGTAACCCGAAGTATCAATAAAATGTAGCGGAGAGTGTCGTGATATACTTATAATTCTTTGTATTCATTCAGTTAATTAATTAATACCTTCTACTTATCTGAATACAAACTGTTGTGATTTTGCGTGATTTCGTGTTGGTTCACGTCACGTGATCTTGTGTTTATAAATAACGGTGGGACGCCTCTATCTTTCTCTCTGGCGTCCGTTCGTTCATATCTTCTATGTAACTGGTAACAGTGTATGCTTTTTATGTTGAATAAAACCTTAATATTCAACTTTCTAAAAAGGTCTCATTTCATCACACTTTTTTTATATATATTCCCTGTCTAGGTTCAGATTCCAGTGGTGCAATGTCATCAACATCTTTCACCTGGACTTTGTATGAGTACAACACATTGGCTGAAGTAGTCTCACTATGAAAACCATCCTTTAGTTTAATGTTGTATCAGTACACCATTTGCTGGACAGAGCATTGCTTTCTGGCAGTGATCCACTTTATGGTTCTGTGTAAACATTCAGCAATCATCTTCAGAAAATGTCCTGAAATTCCTGCTGTTGAATACTTTGCTATTGTCTGTCAGGATCTCTTTGGGTGGGCCCTTTCAAGAAAAAATGCAGTGAGATGCTGGATTACAGCAGTAGAATCTTCTTGTGCTAAGGGTTGCCAAATGGCAAACTGGAAAGGGCCACAGTCTATGAGGGTCAAGTAATGGGTGCCATCCATCCCCAGTCTTTGCCATATACATTTTTCTCCTAAAGAGAATAGGAAGACTTTAGAAGGAACCAGAAACCCAATCCTAAACAGGAAACAACGGATAAAACTTTACTCCTGTTCAAAAAACAGGGGAGGAAGGTGAACCATATTGTTATTGTGATATGAATTCTTTGTCACAAAATGTAAAAAATGATATTCTATTTATCGTAATGATAATGTATTTGTGGTGGATATGGTCACATCTCTATAATTTTATGAGTAATGATAAAGGATGAAGAGAGAGGAGCTATACAAATATATATATATATATATATATATATAAGTATATATTTGACAGATGATAAATGATTCATACATTTTATGCTTTTAAATAATTTTGTGTGACTGATTTCTTAATAAACAAGTTTTTCATATTTACTTGGAAGTTAGTGTTACCCAAGTGCTTTGGCACCATTAGTAAAAGTAATAATAATGTCAGTAATTGCAATAGTGATAATAAAAATAGCAAGAATTATGATAGTAATCCTTATAGTAATGAAGCAAATTGAAATAGATTCAATATTTATGATCAGGATCAGATTCTACAAATATTAACCTGTTTATTTAGAGGAAAAAAAAATCTTTAGTTTTAAACCAATTTCTTTTCTCTAAGCAAATATATGAAGCTTCCAGTCCATAATCAGATATGTAAACTTTTAGTTTTATTCTTTAAACACTTTGAAATGGGATTTTTAATAATATAGACACATAGTGAGGTTCAATCTTGCTATAATAGCAATTTGATTTAAGGGTAATTAAACAGGAGTGTTATGCTAGACACACATAGAAGCAACAATAATAATGTGATAGTAGCTATTCATCACTGTTAGAGATGAAACCAGAAACTATTATAAAAAATGGCAAGCTGCTTCTACTCTTGTTATTTGTCCATTGTTATTGATTACTAATCCTATCAAAAATGACTTTATGACACTACTATATACTATAATCTATATTATAATCTGTGAAATAATTACCAGTCTTGCTCTCTTTCCTTCATCTGTTGCTCTCTTTGGAGTTTTTCAATATTTTAAATGTCTAAAAAAGAAATTAAAATAATAGAAAAAGAAAGTTGTGTAATAAGTTGAAAAAACTACTAATAAAATTAAATTAAAAAGTTGTTAATTGGTATAATTAGCTACTTGCTATTTACCAGCTGGTTATTAGATTGTAGATGGGTATGTTAGCATTTAGTAAATTAACATTTTTTTTAATTTAATAAAAAAAAAATTGCTTGGATAAAATATTTTTGTTTATTGTGAGAAGAAAAATAGAAAGTGTTCTATTTTAATTTTTTACAATTTCTTTTGTTAATTAAAGAACTGTAACATCACTAATTTAAAATGCATATGGTTCAGAAGTTGTTAAAAAGAAAATATAGTAATTTATATTTTACTATAGCTTATATTGAGAAAAGTGATGGCAGATTTTACATAATGATCATCAGAGAAAATATACTTTAGGTGAATTACTAATTAGAAGAAAGGTAATATTTGACATACAAGGTGCTCAGTTTAGTTTTTAATTGAAGAAAGTCTTTTACATGCTCCAAGATAAACATTAAAACATGAAACTGCTTACAAGGTATGTTAAAAATATCAGTTTTAATTCTGAAAAGAAAATACAAAATAACCTGAATAATATATGTAATAAATTAAAACACAAGATATCAATACACTCATATTCCCTTATAGTAATTTTAAAATTCCTAGTTTTGGGTAACAGCTAGTCAAGGAGAAAATAAAATAACTGAATTCACATCAGTTGTGTGGAAATATATATAAATAATTGAAGCCTACAATTGACCAGAAACTTTGCTGCTGAATCCAGGAGAAGATTTTCAGAATGTGGGTTTGGATCTATGCAATCCCTTACTCACAAATACATATTGTTCCTTGAAATGAATCATCATCCTTTGATAGTGTATAGCCTTTTATAAAGTTTAAATAATAATAAAAGCAATACACATTAATCATTACACAAACAATAATAATTGGATGATGAATATGACTAAATATGTTTGGCGCATATTTACTCAACAACAAATATTTGAAATAACTTAATGTTTCTGTCATACTGTTAAAAATATTTTAGTGGCAAAGTTCAGATTTTGTCAAGGCTAAGAAAAACTAACTCTACATCAGGCACTCTTTCTGTTTACTGTAATATATAATATTCATATTGGATAACATAAGCATATCGGATAATATAAGATTATATTTGAATTTATAAATATTTTCAAAACCATTTGTTTGGAAGAATAGAATTTTTCAAGTCAGAAAGGTTTTAAGGATCATATTTCTTGTATGAGCTTAAAAATGTACCACAATAAAGCAGTATTTAATATACATACTCAAGAACATTAATGATGCCATATCTTAATATACAAAGGAGACTTGAAAAGTTTTCAATTTGACTAAGAGGTGATTCCAAGGTGAATCCTGACATTTGGTCAAATTTTGTGAAGTGAATTGGTCGAAGATTTTTAGCACTCCATCATGTATTCATTAAATTTATTAATTTGGTAATATTTCTTATAATATTTAGTGCATATTATGGAATTAGCAATGATCTTGACTGAAAGGTTTTGTTGACAACTGAGTTTTATAAAGAATTTTTCTTAATTGAATAAATTTCGCTTTTACGTTTTTTGTTTTTTTAAATTTTTTATTTTTGTTGGTTATTTTTTTTTTATTTTTTTTTTTTTTTAAATGGAAAGTGTGATTTAGATTTTAATTATAAATCAAAATTTATTGAGTATATATTATTATTACTACAAAACTTCAGTATTTACAGAAAGTGCCTTTAAAATCTTTCAGTTTGTTGCTGAGATTTACAGATGATACTTTTGATCCAGAGCAAGCTTCAACAATAGGTGAGTATTTTATAATGTTCAGTTATTTCTTGATCACTTTATTAAAATTTTATTTAGAATTATCCACTCTATTTCAGTTTGAAAGAAAGACACCTTATCCACAGATTTGATCTTGTAAATCTTTACAGCTGTTTAGGTTTTATTGATTTTAGTGAGTGGTTTGAAAGTTAAGACAAGATTATCTACATTTTGTACATTCTTGGCATATATTACTTTAATAAAATTAATGTAGTCTTTAGAAAATAATAAGAAATATTTTCCGATTTCATTGGTATAATGATTTTACTACTCACAATAAGTTTGATCTCTCTTTAAAAATATATTACAGCCAGATAATGAATTAAATTGTCTAACATGGCATCATTACATATTTCATATATTAAAATATAAATGTAAATAATAGCATCTAAATTATCATGATTTTGATGATATAGTAATTGTGAGTTCAATTCCTGGCCTAGACAATATGTGCTTGGACTCGGTGAAAATAGGACAAGCAATAACTGAGCAGTACTAAAAATAACTAGACATGAACAAGGGAACAAGAATAGTCTACCTTCACAGATTAAATAAAGGGCTCTGTTCAGAATTCCCTATATGTTACCCAGATTGAAGGCCAGGGGTCACAACAGCCAAAACATTGTCATAATAACAACAAGGATGAAGACAATAATCTACATGTAAATAGTGTAAATACATGATAATTGTCTCTCTTATTTATAGTAGCTAAGATGATCCAAGATAGTTTGGGTGCTCAAATCTTTTTGTAAATATACAAAGAGATTAACTGTTGTTAACACAACATATTAGCTGATCTATTCAACTCTAATCAGTTACAATCCCTGAAAAAAAATAAACTCATCTCCAGAAACATCTTTATATAAAATTTTGACAAGATGTTGGTCTTCACTATCTTATCTTTAATTTAGCTAGTTATAGTTACTGATCCAAACGATCTTTATTTATCTTTTTGCTGTGACATTAAATTTATTCTGAAGTTTTTCTTGCTAGAATTACAAAAACATGTTCATTCCATGAAAATTCCAATTAAGCCCATATGTACAGTTTCAAAGATGAGGGTAAAAAGTTGATTGATTCAGCAGCTGAGTTACACATTCTTAAATGATTTTAAGACATTTTTATGTTTAACATTCTTTTTATAGATACAAATATTTAAGTAAATGCTCTGTTTATAGTAAACAGTATTAAATAACATTTACTGGCCTGAATGTCCGAGAAATCTTCATAGAAAATATTCGTCCTCTGTCGGTTAAATTTTGTTTTAATACTGTTTATTATAAACAGAGCATTTACTTAAATATTTGTATCTATAAAAAGAATGTTAAACATAAAAATGTCTTAAAATAATTGTCGGACTTTGTCCATTTCATGTGTGATGTCATTCTTAAATGAATACCAACTCCATAATTATCATTCTACTGTCTATATCACTTGACTCCTTTTTTTAATTAGAATTTTCTCCTTGAAATAGTGCTAGTGTAAGTCCAAGCAACAATCTATTATTGATTTACTAGTGTTGCACACTAGAAATGAACATGCTGGGAGTGATGACACCTATGACCTGTCCCAGAGATTATTGTTCCATTTCAGCTGCCAGTATCTTTTGATTAGTTTAATTTTACTACCCCTATAAATGGAAGGTTGAATATAATTTGTTTCCTCTCTGAACAATATTGTTTCAATCTTTTCAGGTTGGAGGCAACAAATCAAGTACTTTGTTTACCTCTTCCAGTGTAGTCTAAAGCTGCTCAGACTACTTATCATTTTTGTGCTTTAGGGAAAAATGTGTTTTGTACTTTTTTTTTTATTTATTTATTTATTTATTTTGAGGGTTCCATGAATTTAAAATAAAGTTTTTAAGTTCAAATATTTCTTTATTTATAAGGATGCTCATGTCAACATGGCAGATATCCCCTCTCATGAGATTAATGCAGGTGTCCCACAAGGCCCACTCTTCAGTCTTACCCTCCTGTGGATTTACAGTAAAAAATTGTAGAGAGTGTAGGTATGCATACTTTTGCAAGGTGTAGATTTTTTTACGGTAACTCGTGATGAGTAAGAAAGGTCAAAGTTGCAGTGGATGCAGTTACTACCAATGGCTGACTCTTCTCTGTACTTTGATACTTTTGTTTGAAAGTCTCTTTTAAAAATGAACAGTACATTCCTCTTAACTAATTATTACTGGTTAACTATTTCTTTTTCTGTACTAGTTTTTTCAGGAAACTCTTTTTCTTTGTAATTCTTTGTATTTCTGTTTCAGCCCAATAAAACCTTCAAACTGTACATGGTTCTCAGAAGCCTATACATGACAGAAATTGTTCATTAATGTACCCACCAGACTAGTCTATTTTCAAAATGTCAGATACATCAAATGCTTAGATAATACCAAATTAAAACCAAGCAAAGAAAAGTGTGTAGTTTTGAAATCAATGATAGCCAGACTCATACAGACTGATGTGTTACTTTCCTCTGCTTCTTCCCTCCTAAACCGCCCTGTCAGCTGGGGCTTCAGAATAGACTAACTGCACCTCTGCAGATAAGTACACCCATGAGGCCACCTGTTTTCTGTGGTTGTTGACCTGTGATGCCTGAGGACAGGATCCTGGTGGCTGAGTGCTTCATGACCCTGCAGGATCATACGAACTGCAACACTCCACTTTAGCCCTTACTTGGGCTAGATGGGCAGTCAGAAAGGCCAGATCCAATCTCTTAGGTAGTCATGTCAAGACCTAGCATCCAATAATTACATTAATACATTGATTCAAACATTTAGAGATAAACAGTCAATATTGACTTACAAATAAATGTTAGAAGGCTACTGAAAGGTACAATTGAATTGGAAGACCATAATTGGAACATGGCTGTGTAATCCTGGACTTTTCCCTATGACAAAATGGCAAAAACAAAGGAACATGGGTGCTTCCGACTACTACCAAATCAAGTTTAGCACCCCTGTATGCCTGTCTTGTCAGTGTAAATGGGTTTCCTCCCTGGTAATTCCCTCTGACAACAGGTTAAAGTGGACTCTGGTGGTTAGGGAGCAGAAGTGGTGAGGGTTTGATTAAATCAAAACTTCATGGTTTATAATAAACAAACCAAGCATCTGTATGTGAACTCAAGTTCAGAACATGAAGCAGAGCAACATAATAAGGAATTCCCAAAATATATAGTTCTAAAAGCAAAGGATGAAATACCACTATAGAGCATTTTATCCACTTTTATAATAGTCATTCCGTGTCAAATCAACAGGGTCTGACCATCACTGACACAGACTTTTTCAAGCTTATAGAGCTTCATGATAGAAATTGAACGGTACCTATTTTACCTCTTGGTCAAAGACTTCCTGGGATATGACCCTTGCCAAGAAGGAGAATTTTGGAAAATATTCACTAAGTTTAAATATTAATATCACAGTTGTTTTTTCACCTACAAAGTTAAATTATATAACATTTTAAAGTATTTAGATGGATCTAAAAGGTGATCTATTTATTTTTCTCTTTAAAGGTCAAATAAGATAATTTGACCATAACCTTTGATCTTTAATTTCCAAAAAAAAACAGTTCTTTTTTTTTTTTTTTTTTTTTTTTCAAATTGACTCCTTTATTGCAAAATATGTACAAACTTTTGTGGTGGACTTTTGAATGTGGCCTGAGTTACAAGGGTTTTACTGAGTTGACCAAATTCAAAATGTACAAAACAATCCAATTTTCAGTTTTTTTTTTTTTATATATTTAAAAAAATTAAGTTTTGATCTGAAAAAGTGATACATTAAAATGAATATTAAAAAAAAATTCTTAGTATTTGCAAAGAGATTAAATAGAAAATCCGTTGTTAAATAAAATTTACAGCATTACCTGATTTTTCTGAAAGTACTTCAACCATAATCTAGCATTTTTGTAGATACTGAAAATGAATTGCAACTTCTTAATGAGTCACTGTCAATAATTGGTGAATCACCAATCAAGTGTCAAAAACTTGAAAAGCAAAGCAGTTATGAGGAATAAAAACTAGGAAAATTTAAAGGAGCAGTATCAAAGAAAATCAAAGTGATTTTAATTAAAATTTTTCATCAAGAATCTATCAGTTCTGAATTTGTTCTGTAACATGAAAGAGACATACCAATTATTTAAATTAAAAAATCCAAACAAAATTAGATTTTCAAAATTTGATGAGGTTGGACCAAAAGACTATATCCTAGCAGGTGGTGCCAGAACAAATTGTCTGTGTTTTTACAATACATCAAAATATGAATGATGATTGTGGGGGCTCAAGATGAACAATATCATTTAACAGATGCATTGTTGCTGTTACATGCAAAGAAGCAACTGCTACTTGGCTGACTGCCTATCTTGTAGCAATTTGATGGAGGATTTTGTTTTATATATAGAAGAAATTCTAAATAAAAATTTAATAGATGATTTTATTTACAAACAGTGGCTTTCAACTGATAGAACCACACTGCAAACTGTATCATAATCTACTGAAGAATTTATTGACACCTTTCGTGTAGGCCTTCAAAACTTAAAAAAAGCATGTTTTCATTCACAAAGAACAATTAAAATTTTGTTCTAATAAGAAAAGTTCTTTGATGGATGGTGAAGTCATTTATTGCAGATTTTGCTTAGAATTCATTTATTTTGCAGAATGCTGCACAAGGTTTCCACTGGAATAATTCTCAAGTCACATTACATCCATTTGTCTGTTATTACAGAAATGTCAAAGAGCTGGAGAATATTAATATTGTAATTATATCAGATAGTCTCAAGTATGACACAGTAGCTGTCCATTTGTTCCAAAGAAAACTTTTGAAAATTGATATGGAAAAAGCTCCAAATATTTTAGGGCAGAGAATTTCTTGAAATAATCTTAAATGAAGACACAATCTAGGTTGGGCATCGGAAAAAAATCCAAGTGAAAAAGTAAGTGGTTTGCATGTCCAAATTTTTTTATTTATTTATACATATATTCCAACAACAAAA